CAGACGTTTAGCACACTTGAGACATTTTGATAAAATAAAATTCCAATGTGGCAATAATAAAAACAACAAAACGATTCGCGTGCATACCAATCCCGATAAACAATTAATAATGTATTTTAATGCCAAAATAAAATGTTGAAACTCTCCTGGTGGACACGTGATATCGCAATGCCATAATTTATAAGCTATAATTTATAAAATAAAGTATCGAGTGTACAGTTATGCTGAAATTTAATCGACACTTACACATCGAAAAATTGAATTTTGCATTTCCGATGTTACGGCCAGTTACAGGTCACGATTGGTTATTGCACTCGGTTATTTGCGCTACAGAGCATTATTCTTGGTATCTATATTTTATTCGATCAATTAATCATTATATTATTATCGTGTATGCAAATCACAAACTACGTCAAACTCAAAATCGTATCGGTTCAAAAATATACAAAACACATTAAAATATTTTACTGGCACAAACATTATATATATATATGACCAGATAGTTTTTTAAATGCTATATCATATTATATTTAGCTATGTAGTCACTATAATTTAGACACAACTCAATATAATACACTTAGTATTAATAATTATTGTAATCGAAACGGGAACACTAAAATATAAGAATTGGAACATGACTGTAACGTGGTTATTTTTGTTATTCAGGCRGTTCTATAATTTAGTCCCTCTAGAATTTGTTTGATAATTAACGCTAAATGTTTTCATTCGGAATTCTCACTGTTTAATGTATCTATAATTTTTACGGTTTCGTAATACGGAAATAAAATACGTTGTTACACGAAATCGACAATGTCATATATAATTATAGACAAGTAGACAACTGTTATGCAGTACACTATATACATCATACCATTATCATACATACGTCGTTTGTATGCACTCAATTAACACGTTCAATAATTTATGTTTGCAATATCAATATATATTCCACTTGGTAATTCTACGAATAAAACTACGCTCGGACTTTTTTATTAACGTTTAGCTTCACCAATAATTTTCATAATATTGTTTAGCTTGCAGTCAGATTTTAAATTCAACTACAATTTAACGCCCCCCAAGGTTATAAGTTTCATAATTTTATAATTGWTTTTCGWCCTAAATTCTAAACACTTTTAATTCATTTACCGCACACTACAGGCGTCTAAATGTATTATATTGCGCTAGGTAATCAATATTTATACCTATAAATATAAAAATTTTCTTGAGCTTTAATCACCTATATTATAGATATGAAATAATATAGTAGGTATTTTTAAGATAATTAATAAACGATAAACAGCACTATATATTTATATAATAGGCGTTTTCACTCGAGAATAAAAATAATAACATTTTAAATGTGTTTGAGATGAAAATTAGAACATGTAAACAGAGTTACAATATTTGTAGTTTATTTCTAAAATTTAATACGTCGATAAATAATTTATTGGCAATTTGTATGAAATATTTGATTTTGGTTTTATTTTTAACATTTAAGTTATGYTTGAATCGATAGAATACACTTTTGACGAAATTATTTTGGACTACGTACTTTTTTGAAATTTATTTTTTATTTTTCTTAATTTATAAATTATAAACATGTACCTATATAAGCAGCTCAAACAAATGTTATGAAACACAATGAAATATATGAAAACTCACGAGTTTAATAAATGAATCACTATTTTTTTTATACATATAGCTTGTAATCAACATTCAAGTGTACGTGTTTGCCCGACCAAACGAAACTAAGAGTTATACTAATTTGAAATAGCCCATTTCTCTYGAGGCGTCAAGCATATAATATTATWGGTAATGATTAATACCGGGTATAATTTATTATTGGCTAATTAACATTGGGATAAATCTATAAAAATGACTAGATACGGCTATAGGTACTTATGTAATCTACATTTATTCTTAATTGTAAATCATTTTTTATAATATCCATTGACACCTTGCATAATACATATTTAACTGTTAAACTATAAATAATAGTATATGCTATAATAGTAATACTATCTATATCTATTATACATTATACCTATACGTATTATTCGGGTCTTTGAATCCTTTTTTAGTATAAATCAATAAGACGAAACGAAACGAAACAAAACATCGCAAATGATGACAAGCGCGGCGATTTATCATTTCTGAAGTCATAGACATGTATTTTAGTCAGAACACRTGCAATATGTTGCACAAAAAACTAGCATGGACGTACCTATGGTACGCATTATTGYTACATGATGGAGACGAAATTAATTTGTACTATTCGTAATACAAAAATTCCGACGTTTTAATAACTGCGTGAAATTTGTTTATGTAAATACTGTATCTTAAGAAATTGTTAACCTTAAGACTCCTAGTATGCCATTGGCCATAGTCACCGAGAATTTTTTATTTAAATACAAAACAACTACGTGAAACCGTTACAAAAATGGGTCAAACGTGATACAATATTACATTATCAGCACATAGCGTGGTTAGAGAGAAGTTTATTGGAAACCACAAGCGACTATAATAGACTTTATAGTTTATAGTATACAGGCAACCTTAGATCATATAAAGTGATATCTGATTCCYCAGCTGATAAATATGCGACGGCCGACGAGTAACTTCGCGAATGTGCATATCGAGCACCTAATCAAGAGACTCGTCGACAATATCGGCAACAAAAAAAATACGCCATGGTTCCATCCATAGTATTTGATCTAAGGAGGCAACAATAGTGGAGTCATTTATRTGACCGGTTATACTTATAATAATACACTGTAAAGTTGTGCGTGGACGGGATTTTTCGCATTTATGTGAATATTTAATATTAGASTATAATTGTAATAAATGGATACACACGAACACGTACCGTGGTRAAAATGTCATAAAATTATCTAAACTACAGATGAACGGATGCGTAACACGAGTAGGTAAGCATAGGTACCTACCTATAATATATGTGCCTATATAATTAGGTGATGAATTTGATCGACCGAAACGGCTATTGTATTTAATTATGAAAATGCAAGACGTGTACTACTCACTATACTTGCATCTTAAAATTGCATATGCATAATATCATTATACCCGCACAGCACTCTGCAAATAGGATTTACGTAATGCTATGTAAAAATAGAAAAATAGCTATATTAATTAAATAAAATGTGCTTTGACATGATAGGGCAAAGTACAGATACTATTAACAATAATACGACTTGCGCGAGAGGACAATCATCGTRTTAATATAATATTATGTAAAAAATAATGAGCTTAAACTTGAATATTCCATGGAAAATTGAAAATAACGCGCCTTATTATTCACGGAGCAATCAACCTAAGTTGCACGAGTGCAACGCAAAACGTAATCGTCTTACTAATTTAGTATATTATACTATTATGGTATGTAACGGAATTTTTTTTTAATTAAATCCAATCCTCTCGAATTCTTAAATAATTATGACATTATGATTGCAACTGAATCAAAAGCAAACCTAAAAGCGACAACACTAAACCTGATATATTAGCTAAAGAAAGCAAAACAAAGTACTTATTAATATTATCTCGTCCTATCCACGTACGTTACCCCAGCCACTCCCCCCCCATATACATTTTCACGGATTTAGAAATAGAATAAATGAGATTTGAGAAGGTGGAAACGTTTAAGTATATTAGATTAGAAATAGGCATAATTATGTGGTGGATATGATAAGATACAAAGAATKGTAAGTACAGCAAATAAATGCTTTAGACATACACACACATACACCTTTGAATTTATAGATAGATTTATTGGGTACTATCATCCAAAAACCTCTGATATTGAGAAGGTGTTTAAGTTTGTTTTTAAGTTTTTTTAAATCAAAATTCGGAAAAAATTAAATATTTAAGAATTTTAGTAATTTTGTTATACATACGAATATTTATAAATTTCATGAATCAGGTTTTGAATAACTAAATGTAGAACTATTATAAAAAAAATATTGGTTGAAATTCTTGTTGAATATCTCTTTGTACCTATAGTGTATATTATATTATAATAGAACAATATTTTTATACTTTTGACCACGGCGAATAAGCGAATTGACCTGCGAAGAGAAATCGTTTGTCGTCGTAGATGATAATATACCCAGGCGTAATAATAAATCGCAAAAAACATAACAACAATATACCTAYGAATAACACAGAATATTATTATTTATCGTTGTAATGTATATTATAATTAATGTGCATGGAAAAAAAATATGCGCTCTGAAAGTATGATACGATACYATAGTGATACTACCATACTGAAGTTAYAGAATATTATACAAAATATTATAATTTATAATTTATAATAAATAAACGTCGAGGCGACGGACGCCCGTGGCGCTCTTGCAGGTCGCGATTTTACAACGATACTGCAGCAAGTGCACATTACAATAATATGTATTATATACGTGAGATCCACAATAATAATATATAGCTACGAATTGTTCGCAATTTTTTTTCACGATTTTTATTATTATTATTTCCGCCGACTGTACGCGCTGCATAATAATATTATTATGCGTACGATTACGTTCACATTGTGTTTTATGCGCGCCATCCCGCAAATATTATAATAATTCAATATATTATTGTTATTATTATTATTTTAAATTATATTCAATAACTGCTTTAGTGTACGTATGACTTCTGAGTTCGAACCCATATCGCAATGAATTAAATTTTAAAACATCCCACGGCCAACGCGTTAGATTAAAACAAAACATCCTCTGAATAAATTAAACCATTTAAACCTAYACATTATACAATTTTATATGTTAGTTCCTACTCATAACTTAAATAAGAGAAGTAAGTTCCTACACAACAATAAGTTCTATGTAAGTTCTTATTATTATAGGTACATTTGTTTACACACTTATGATATATGTATTTAATATAACAGATTATGATAGAATAAAAAGTGATTTATATTAATAATAATATTTAAAATAAGAATAATTATACGTTATCTACTTACCTAAAAGTTACATACAGTCGTTTATTTAGAGTTATTTATACTCTGGTGTTAAAAATAGTAATAAATATAGAATGAACGTTAAAAATTTAGTTCAAATTCGCATGATAATTCAGCAACACTGATAATAAACAGAAAATGGTTAAAAAAAATTGTCTTTATGTTTTCGGGAAACAGAAGACACGGAATAAAGCGCAACTTTAAGATAATATATTCAAGYAGGACTAGTACTAAAAATAGTGTTGGATTAATATTGGACGAAGAGATGAAAACTAAAGATAGTCAACGTAAGGAGAAAATGTGATGGAATTATTATATAATATATATAAGTAGGATGTGAAGAAATAGAAAAKGAAGAGTTTTGGCGAGAGGTGGATGAGATGATGCAAGGAATACCAGGTGATGATGATGCTGTGATTGGTGGTGATATGAATGGACATGTAAATAGTGATAGGGTAGAGTATGAAAAATCRTGGTTTTAGCAAGATAAATTAGGCTGGAGAAAAAGTTTTGTATTTTGCAGCATCGTGTGATATTGCAATAATCAATACGTATTTTAGAAAAAAAGAACATCATATAAGAAATAGMTTATTTTATGTGGTGATATAAAAATATTAAAAGATTGTAAAATAATTCTTAGAKAGAGTGTATTAACACAGTATAGATTGATGATAATGAAAGTATGGTGTAGTGGAAAGAGAGTGAGTGTATTAAATTTTAAAAAAGAAGACCGAAAAGGAGAGCAGAATTAGGTGGTGGAAATCAATACTAAATAAAGAAAAAAACATTTACAAAGAAAGTAAAATAAAAAGCTGGGTGAAATGTTGAGAGAGATATAAATGAGATTTGGAAATGGAAGGATGGCCCACTTGTGTTGAAAATATCGGGTCACCTTAGTTGCGTCCCGTTAAAAAGGTATACATGAATATAGCAAAAAACAAAAATGGTTGTTGGTGAAATCAAAAATAGTTTACCAGAAAACAAAGAAACGTGGTGGGTGGGTGAAATGGAGAAAAATATCAGGCGTCTTATGTGATAAGAGAATTCCTATGAGGCTGAAAGCTAAATTTTAAAAAAGTTAGGCTAATATAATTTTTGAAAATCACTTGCGAGCCGCTTACATATTTTTTATTTTTGTCATACTTATTTTAATTAGTACAATCTTTATAAAATATTTGTATAATAAGCACAATAGATAGAGGGGTACATAAGAGGGATTGGTTGGCTTGGTTGAAAAAAACTATAGTAAAAACAATAAATAATAATAATAAAATGAGACAGAATATTTTGTTAAGAAAGGGTATTGTAGGAAAAGTTCATGAATGACACAAACGTTTTTTCTTGGAATTGGATTGGACTTGGGATTTTAGATTTTAGAATGTATAATTTAATTTTATAATTTTAGTGCTGGCCCCATTAAATTTGTTTAAGGGCCGCGTATTGGGGACCACTGCGTTAGAAGTAGTAATGGTGTAGCGTCGAAACTGGACAAGATGAKAAAAAATAGATTGAGATGGTTTGAGTATGTAATGAGGCAAGAGGAAACAAGACGGTATAATAGTAGTTATGAAAATGAACATTAAAAGGTAAAGAGGAAGAAGAAGACCAATAAATAGATGGKTAGATACTATTGAGAATGATGTGTGTGCATAGAGAATGTAGAAAATTGAAAAAAGTGGAGATGTAAGACAAAGATAGCCGACCCCAAATATTTAAGAGGAAGGCGAAGTTGCAGAAAAATAAGATATAYATTTCGATAATATAATATTATGAATAATTGTTATTCCATTGTTCCATTTTTCCTRCTTTATGAATTTATTGAACTACTTTTTATGTATAAATTTATTCTTAAGRAATATCGATTTTGGTGCCATTTAATGTGTATGAAGCGTTTTCTCTGAATGGCCAATCCGCAACGTTACAGAAATTCCCGATGTCTGCCATCGCGGCTACAACAAAGTCTTCAATCTGACACTCGTTGGTTCCTTTCAGTATCCTGAAGTACCCATTTTCACCCCACCAAAGTCCCCATGAATTTGCAACGATCTAAATAATAAAAACAAGGACAACTTTTATTGKTAGGTAGTAACACATTTTAGTGTATACAATATACATGTAACTCATTTTTTTTTTTTAAGACAATGTAATGGATTTTTCGGTACAATTGTACCATAATTTTCGCGCCATTAAATTTTTTTCAAAAACAAAACTAAAATCTACTAGTGAAATATTGCTTTAACATGATAATATTTTGTCAGCCAACAAAATATAATGTTTTCATGTCAATTTATAATTAATTCTGTACACTCACATGATAAATGACAATGCAGATAATATTATTATAATCATGTGCCAATTTGACTATCATCATTATATCAGTATAATATATTATGTACCTACCCAATATTTGACTGTTTTTCCATTCTGTTGTTCTTCACCCCAACCAACAATCCTTACAGCATGGTATCCTGTTCTCGATCCTGAAGCCAACTTTGAACACTTGTATACTCCCGATTCGTACATGAAAAATTCTTTGGACACTTTTATCATGGCTATAAACATAACAATAATAATATTACTGTGAACTTAATAAGTACAAGGTTGCATGTACACATACGAATTCTAGTAAGCGTTTGATTGTGTCGGTTAATAATTTAAAATACGCAATAAAGTATGAAACTATCGTTATAAAAATGGCAAAATCAATTACAGTACGCACCTTGAACTGATCCCCAATTCATGATCTCATACATAATACCCTCTTCTGTGGCCACCCTGTACATCAGACCAACTCGTCTGAGTTGCGCAGTTTTGGCCGAACGTGGACATGACACGATCAAGTTATTGTTATTCCTTTGATTAGACACCGCACAACCTGTCGCCCTACCATCCCACGGATAACATTCTTCTGTGACAAGTCTACAAATCACATTTGTAACGAATAAATATAGGCATGTTATACACACTTTTCTTTTCACTCACCCAAATTTCCTAATCCAATTCCAAGCACTGGTTAAATGGCCGCCTTGGCATCCTCGTTGTAGGTCAAGATTGTTACAGGACAACAGGTGTTTCGGTGACAGCGCGTCGCCCATCAGTCCTTTTGTCATTATAACAAAACGGTCGGTGGCCACTTGAGCAGTACTAATAGCCCAGGACGCACCACACCAACCCTGATCGACAGGATCGGTAATATTATCACCAAAAACTTTGCGGAGATCGAAAGATGACTTT